TAGCTGGACCAGTCACAAGGATGATACACAGAGACTATTTGTTGATGAAACTCCAATACGTCATTCATATACTTGAGATGGTCTTTGTGAGAATGAGTGAGGACAGCAAAATTAAGCTTTGCCCCAACAAGAAACTTTGTAATACCTTCTGCGTCAATACCTCTATTGTTACTGGCTCCAGCATCAATAATAGTGACCCGTCCTTTTGGATACTCAGGATCAGCTTCAGGACACTGTATCACAGTGCAGTCTCCTTGTCCAACTGGCAGTGCATATATATGCAACTTGCCATCAGGATCAGGTATAGATACTGTTACTTTGAATAGCAAAAAAAGAACGAGAATGGCATTCATCTTTTGTTGTAGAGAAATGAACGAGTTATTTTGTAAAGAGTGAGAGAAAGAGGTCTGCACTAAAAACTGTTTGATAGTCTTCTCTTTATATACACAGTAGAGATGCAATAACTGTCACTAGTGTTAAGCACTAATCAATAGGTAATTAGCAGTGAATATCAGTGACTAGTGACTGAACAGCATTAATAAGCACCTACTGATTACTGTATGGTAGTCAATTAAAATTATTATTGCTAATAATTCTTGTCAAAAATGAGAATGATATTCATATTCTGCAGTAGACAAATGAACTTAGGTATTTTTTTAAAAGAAAGAGAAATTATATAGTTACAATAAAGCTGTTTGATAGTCTTTTTTAATCTATAATAGATGAGCAGTAGCTGTCAGTAGATTTGAACACTAATCAACATGTGATGAGCATAAATTATAACTGTCACTAAGTGCTAAGCACTAATCAGCAGGTAATTAGCAGTGAATATCAATGACTAGTGACTGAACAGCATTAATAAGCACCTACTGATTACTGTATAATAGTGAATTAAAATTGTTATACAGCTAATAATCTATGACTTAGTTAAAGATTACCAATGTGAGTTCTTTGAACTTTTGATGATTTAAGATAATTTATAGTCAATTACAGTACCATTATGTACATGCATATAATGTACACATGACTAAAATTGTGTTGTAATAATAATAATAATAATAATAATAATAATAATAACAACAGCAATAAAAAGAAGTATAAGAAGATACATGTACATGATAATAAAGTAACATTAACTGTGAACACTAATGATACATCATATGCAGGACAGATGACCAGAACCATCCATTTGTATAACCTGCGTGAGGATTAATCTGAGGATGCTATCAAATTTTTGGGTTCCTAGTTCCTACTAAGCTATCAGCGTATAGTTCACTAACTGTAGTGTATTCTGTGCTGAGCACACGTAAAGACTAATTAAAAACTGTATTCTTATTAACCAAAAGGAGAGAGAGAGAGAGAGAGAGAGCTATTCACAAAAATCAGAGCATATGGCACTGTAGATAACAATAGCGCACGCCACCTGGGTGTAACCAGCCGGGTAACAACTAATAATAATGAATAATAATTACAATCAATAATCACATAAATTCACTACACTAATCCATTCAAAAAATGTCACATCATTTTTACACTCAAAAAAACTACACCAAAAGTTACGTAACTAATAATATTCAGTACAATTATAAGAACAATACTTCTCAAATGCTATTTAGATTTACTAAAGTCAACAAAGTAACTATAAGCAAATTATATTATGCATCACTCAGACTAATAAGTACAATACATGATATCTAGCTAAGGCAATTAAGCAGCAAAAATTGTACAGCATGTAGATGTAGTAACTAAAAAATGAGATTACTTTTATATGTAAAGTCAAGTAGAGTCATCAGAGTCTATTGCGATTGAATCCAAAGTTAATGTAGAAGGAAATCTTCCCATACTGTTGATATCTGATGGCACAGTTGTACGGTAGCCACTGGATACTGTTAGTTGAGACTCAAACGAGTATACACTTGCAGCATCATCTGCTAGTTTATTCTTGTTATACATGTAGTCATAAATCAATTTATTTATATCAGAGTCCTTTGAAAGTGATATTGCAGTGTAGCCATTTATAGATTTAATAGTAGGGTCAGCTTTCCATTCTAATAATAACTTAACTACTTCATAATGTCCATTAGAGCTGGCAGCCATCAAAGCAGTATGACCTTCTATGTCTTGAACATTAGGATCAACTTGTTCCTTCAGCAGCAGTTCAACTATTTGAATGTGACCATTCTCACAAGCCAATATGAAAGCATTCCAACCATCTTTGTCTTGAACATTAGGATCAACTTGCTCCTTCAGCAACAGTTCAACTATTTGAGTGTGACCATTTTGACAAGCCAACATAAAAGAATTCCAACCATCTTTCGTTTGAACAATAGGATCAATTTCTTCCTTCAGTAACAGTTTAACTATTTCAGTATGGCCATTTTGACTAGCAAACATAAAAGCGTTCCAACCAAGTTTGTTTTGAACATTAGGATCAACGTGTTTCTTCAGCAACAGTTCTGCCATTTGAATATGGTTATATTGACAAGCCAACATAAAAGCATTCCAACCAAGTTCGTTTTGAACATTAGGGTCAACTTGTTCCTTCAGCAACAGTTCCATTATTTGAGTGTGACCATTTTGACAAGCCATCATAAACGCATTCCAGCCATCTGCTTCTCGTTGATATTTATAATCAACTCCTTTACTAATCAATAGCTCAACCACCTCATAATTACCATTGTAACTAGCAATCATTAAAGCATTTGATCCATCTGATGCCTTCAGGTGAAGATTAGCGTTAGCTTGTAGTAACATATTAATGATTAAATTATGACCGTACATGCCTGCCATCATTAGTGCAGTCCATCCTTTATTGTCCTGAATGTTAACATTAGCTCCAGTAGACAGTAAACTGTGTACAATGTCCTCATGTCCTCTTTCACAAGCTAACATTAGTGCTGTCCTGCCTTCTTCATTAGTATGCTGATCTAGATGAATTAAAAACTCTTTTCCAGCTGTGGTTGCCTTACGAAGAGTTTTCAGTTCAAAAGTGAAGCTCATATTCACATCTTCTTGTTGAAGAAATTGATGATCATTAATGTATAAGCTAAGTATACCAATGAAATGCATCAACTGTAACTTTCCTTCAGTATATTCTATTAGACTATCAGCTAATGTGATGTCAACAGATCCAGAAGTTATTGTAATACATTTCATTATTGACTGCTGGTGTCCAACTGGAAGTAAGTTGTAGATCAGTAGAGAGAGTCCATTGATGTCGCTACCATGCCATTGATTATGAAGCTTCATTGAAATCATTGGCATATTTGATGTATCTGGTATATGTTCTTCATATATTGTTTGTAATGATTTATGAAGATGTTTCACTTGAGCTAAAAATCGCAGTTTATCAGCCATTTCCTTATATTCATTTAATTTGCTAACAATATTCAATTTGTCATCATCACTAAACTTGAACTCCTGTAGAAAGACTTTGCTCATGTCCACTATCAGTCTACAATCAACGAAATTATAAAATGGATGAATAATTATAAAAGTTTTATCCAATGATGCATTTGTTAGTATATCATTCCAATGCATGTAGGCCTCAATCCATCTTCTTAAATTAATGAGTAGTTTAGGATCTGAGGCTTCCTTCTCATCAAATGCTGTTCGTACCTTTACCATTAAACTAGCAAACAATTTGTTGAGCTTTATCAGTCGCAAAACTTGTTTTTCATCTTCTTTTGTGGTAAACATTATCAATTTCTTCTCTTTTTGTGTAGTGCTCACAGCAGCTGCATTAGTAACGTTAGGTACTGAAGGATGTCCTTCTATCTTTTTTTCAATATTTTGTGCAAGAGTGTTTTCTCTTCTAATTGTCAATGCAGTAATGACATCATTCCAAGTTGCTTCAGGAGAAACAGAGAGCCATTTTGAATACAATTTCCTCTTTTGGTCATTCACACTGGAACTCTCAGCTTCAATTATTGATACATCATGTTGTGTTATTCCTGGTAAGCAGTAGCCAAATAACTGCCAGTCAACCAGTGGTTCAAGCCATTGAGTTAGCAATGAAATAGCTGGTCGATCATCAATCATAGGACCAGGATTGAGTTTAACATCTCCTGATAAGAGGATGAGCATGCGTAGACAAACAATCAAATAGAGATCATTGTAAATCAGGTTAGAACTGCTGCCTCCAGGTAAGATTACTGACTGGAGGTAATTTGAATCAGTAACAGTAACACTAGTAGTACATTGTACTTGGTAGCAGTTACCTAATAATAAAATACCAGTAAATAATTATACAAGTATAAAGTTGCAAATGTTCTTTACCTGTTGGAGGAATCATCAAAATGTGTCTTAATAAAAAGAGAGAGAGAAAGAGGAGGAGGAGAAGAGCAATAAAAGACAGAGCTGCTGGCAGTTTAGATGTCTTCTCTCCTGATGTAGTACTGCCTGACTTGCTGTCTACTGCAGCTTTGAATGAGTGAGAGTGGCGGCCATTAGCTGGTCTACTGGAGGCAGCTTGACAGTAGTTCCACAGTCCAATACTTGCTCTCCATTGAAAGACATCAATCATCTTGTACTATAGTATGG